AGTATCTGAGTACTATACTTGGCAATTTTTCATATTAAAATTTTTGAATTAAGAATACTATTAATAAAAATTAATTGATATTGTATAGATGTTTCTTATATTATATCTGGGTATTTCATATTCTAACTAGAGCTTAAATGACTATATTAAAATGCTGGTTATTCAAAAATATTATTTTTAATTTATCCTTTAAACTGTAATACAGACAAATTTGCTTGCTAAAATTTTTTTTACACCGTTTTTACATAATTATACCTAATTTTTCTAAATTTTCCCCTTTACTAACCTCAAATAAAACTTATCACATCAATTGATTATCCATAAATTTCTTTTCACTGTATTTTTCATATATATGATATAATGCTAATCCAAAGATAGTAATGTGCATGCATAAGTACTTGATATATAATTAATAACAAATATGAAAAAAAATTTCCACAGTAATGTCTTCCAAATATAAAGCCAATGTATTATTTTCAGACTTTGTGTCTTCAAGTTCATCATCTTTAGGCTCAGCTTTGAATTTGTTATTTTTTTCACCTTTTGAAGGTGAAGAAGAATATGCTAATGATAAAGAAGGAGAAGAATTCATACTGATTTTGACATTTCACTGGCATTTTTTAATTAACAATCTGGAATCAGATAATAATGAACAGGATGCTACAGAAATAGATACTGAAAGGTTCTGTAAAAGAAAACATAAATCAAAAGAGACCGCACAAAAAAAACTTCTACCACCACCTTCTAACTTTCAACAGCTTGTTCATTCAAGTCTATTGTGTAAAGCAAATATAAGGTTGCTGCTGCATTTTGATGTTGGTGTCTTCAAAGCAGTAGATTTTTTTTCTTTTTTTTACAAGTATAATGTTAGACTCAATAGTTGTCAATACGAATCTGTATGCATTAGCAAAGGATGCTAGTGTCTCTGGTAGGAGTTAGCAGAATGTAACTTGTAAAGAGCTTGTTATTTGAATAGTTCTTGTTATCTATTATAAACTTTTTAAAGTGCCTTCTCTCAATTAGTACTGAAATGAAAATCAGAAACTTTCCATTTACCATATTTCAAAGCAAATATTTTTGATACACTTTGAACAGATAAAAAGGTTCTTGCATGTTTCTCCTTCTTAATAATTACAAATTATTTTAAAAAAGTGGAGCTGTTGCTTTCATGTGTTCAAGATGCTTTGAAATAATATTATGTACCAGGTTCGAATATGTTGGTAGATGAAATGATGGGCTGGTTTTTAGGCAGAAATATTCATACAGTCTAAATGAAAAACAAGCCCATACTAGAGGGTTTTAAAATTTTCTTCTATGTGATTCAGAATACACCTACACTTTCTTGTCGACATCATGTATTTCTCTAAATGATGTAATAAAAGTGAGTAGTCTTAGCCATGTCAAGTGTTTAGTTTTTTACCTCGTTTAGCAACGTCTATATTATCAAGTTTCATACAATATTTATATAGAAATTATTTTAGTAGCATGTCTCTTTTTCAGAATCTCTAAAAAATTTGTATTGGAGCTTGTGAAACAGTTTATAAAACAGCTTTGTGGTTTCTCAAAGAACTGAAGATAGATAAAAATAGTAAGTTTGATTGGGATGTTTGACCTGGAGTTGTAGTAAATGATGTATTAGCTGTCTTCTGACAGGATAACAGGTCTATAACAATGCTATTAATGATTTACTGTCTTGTAGATGAAGAATAGGAAATAGAACGAATAAGGTGGCAATTAAGAGAAGCAAGTACAAATGCAGCAAAGGTACATTCAGTATTTGAATCAGAATCAAAAAAATTATTGAAAATACTTAAAATAATTGATGATTACAACAACAATATGAATAGTGTAGATGTTGCTAATCAATTACAATCTTATTATAACATATAACAAGCAACACAGTGAAATTGGATGCCACTTTTTTTTTGGTTGCTAGATATAGCAATTGTTAACTCGTATCTGATTAGTCAAACTTTAGAATCTAAACAAGGATATAAGAAATTCTGGCATGAGCTGATTTGGTGCCTTATCAAATCTGCAAATGATACTGGTGAGATTCAATTGAGAGTAAAAAAAAGAACAAAAGATTCAAAAGTGAGGTAGCCAAAAGTTATAAAAAAGTTTGAATTTTCAGATCAACAGTTAATGCCTGGACATTACTTGGCAGAATAGAGAAAAACACATGAAGTGTATCTGTGATGTGTCTGGTTAGCAAGCAAAAAAAATTGTTATAGATTGTAAAACTCTCACTAAAGTCAAGTTTGGTGTATTATTTGTAATGTGCCCCTATGTTGTAATAATACCTGAAATTGTTTTATTAGGTACTATACTGAAAAATAAAAGATGCCTTTAAATATAATAAAAATGTTGATATAATAGATCAACAATATTAATTATGATCTCATAAATTGATTATATGAAATTTTTTGCACTGCGATAATTTAATATTTAATTAATAAAACTATTTATTGCAATATATTCGCAAATGAATTACTTAATAATTGAAATGATATGTAATAAATGTGTGAAATTTTATTTATTTTATTTATTTTTTTCATTTATTATTTTATTTTTTATTTTTTTTCTTGCAAACTGAAAATTTTCAGATTGAGGCATTTAAGAATATACAAAGTTGGTTCTAATTGACTTTATGAATATTTAATAATATAACATTATTTTTAGTTATTAAATATATAGATCGTATCAGTTAAATTTATTTCGACTAAGTATGTTAAGAGTCTAATTGACCATAATGTTCTAAAATTTGAGTCATATAGCATAATTTTCTAGTTTCGAAAGAGTATATTTTGTATAACTCAAACCTGTAACCTTACTTTGATCACATGATAATGCAATATAATAAAACTGCGATTCACCTCACGTGCTCTAATGTTTTGGAAGTTAACCTAATCGATTTGTATAAAAATTTTCATAAAAAAGTTTTTTACAATGATAAATTTTTTTTAACTATTTTTAGTAGACAAATTTGCCTGCTAAAATTTATACTTTAAGAGATAAGCTAAATATAAAACAAATATTTAGTTTACTGTATCAAAAAAAAATATTTCAAACAATAAGATGCAGGCCAACAAATTACTATAGTAGTTTAAGTCCTAATTCTAATATATAATCCTTTTTTTAGTTCTGTTTATTTTACTAACAATCAATTTATTAACAGTACTATTTACTAACAAGTTTATTTCACCAACAGTATGATTCATCAACAGTTATTTCACAACAAAGTAATTCTGATTATTGTCATTAAGATCAAGTTGAATTAGAGTTAAGGTAGTATAATTTATAAAAAAACTTGTTAGTAAAATGTACTGTTGATAAATTATACTGTTGCTAAAATAAATTTGTCAATGAATCATACTGTTGGTGAATTGATTGTTAGTGAAACAAACCAGATCCTTTTTTTGAAGGATATTTTTAAAATAGATCTGAAGTTTAGATTTCTTACCCTAAACCTCCTATATAAATAAATTTTTTAAAATAATAGTAGTTTAAAATAAGGATCTAAACTCTGGTCTAAAATAAATCTGATCTTTTTTTGAAGGAGTATCCAAAGTCTTAATTATATAAGTATTATTTTGAAAGATACTATAATATATAGTATTTAAATATATGATTCCAAAAACTATTACTAAAATTATATTATTTTTTACAACTATACCTGAAAGTGTTGCTATACTTCTCTTAACAGAATTGTATACCAATTAATCTGGTGCATGTATCTTAACTGTAAAGTAATCTAAATTTAAAAATCGAAATAACTTACAGTATTGATTATTTTTTAAATGATGAGGATTTTCATTAGAACTATTATCTACAATAATAATCTATAAAAGCTTGACCTCATTGTTATGCTTAAAAATTGTGAAAAAATTTTCATTAGTAACTAAAGATATGATGTCTGTTATATGTGAAGCAGATGTTGAACCAAGATGCTATTGAGCTCTAATAAAAATTGACAATTAGCCATATTGTAAAAATTTATTTGATTCTTTGAGATCTAGTATCAAATACACAGACAGTATTAATTTTTGTGATGCACCAATAGAGAAATTATAGTCTGAAACTGATACTAGTTCATTAATAGATTGTATAGTCTGAAATGTCTCCCTATTACTAGAATACTAATAGGAACTTTTGCTTTGTTATCTTGCAAGAGTAGAGTTCAAAAACGGATTAAAAATCTTGGTTAATCTGGGATTTATCCGAATCCGATCCGAATCTGTAATTCAGATTGAATCCGGGAGTGATCCGTACCAATCCAATGGTTTGTCATATATATTTGTCACAATATAAGTAATAAATTCGAATTTATTATGTGCCAAATGTAAATTTATCACTTATATTGTGGCACAAGCTGTGATACATTCGAATTTATCACATGACAAATTCGAATTTATTATATAGAGTGATTATATAAAGATATAACCTAAAATTAGGCCCATTCTCGCTTAATCCGGGCCCAATCTGATGTTTTAGGGGCCAACCCTAATCTAACGGTTTAGATCCGCACAAATCCGAATCTGATTCATGCTGACTTTTTCGAACACTATAAGAGCACTATAGCAAAGTTAGCAAAAGCTATAGCAAACTGTTTTGTATTTTTTACAGATGCAAGACAGTAATATTCATTAATATAGTTTCTTCTATCATCTCTTGAGATGCTAGCGATTCTAACAAAAGTGAGATGGTGGTGGGTTCTAGCTACCAAACTACGGTTTAAATGAAGTAAAATATAATTTCTTATACTAGTACAGAACATATATATTATAGTTTGCTTCTAAGGTATTTCAGAAATTCTCTATGGTCCTAACTTTAATAACTTCATATCTTCTCTGTACATTAGCTTCTTCAAATTCTATGCAACTGTGAATTTGATTATAAAGATTTAAATGTTGAAAAAGAGGGGGCAAGTAACTGAAAGAGTTATATCTTATAACAATGCCATCATTATTAAGTGTTTTTAATTTTTTTATTTGAGATTTCTATTGGCTAGTTGCATGTCTTTTAAGTTCATTAAGTTGTTGTTTTTCTTCTTTAGCAATATTCTTTTTAACTTCAATTATCTGAAATCTAAGGTTATTATAGTGCTGAAGATTAGTTATTATTGTGATCATTTTTTCTAATTTTGATAAGTCCATCTTTAATCTTTTGATTTTCTCAAAACTATTCTTTTGAACTACTGCATTATTATGAATTAGTTCTTTTGATTCAGTTATAGAATAAACTTGTGTTGTTATAGATTGCTAGAATGAAGTTGAAAAGAAAATGAAAATTAAGATAGAGATTGAAAAGGCTGCCTATAAAATATAGAAGCTATAATACAACCACAAAATTGTATTGGAGTATTTAAATATTTTGTTATTTTTGCTGCAATATCCTCATCATTTTTTTTTTATAAAATACTATTCTGTAACTGTCTCTTTACATAACTCACTTTTATTTGTATTTAGTGCTTTAGTTGATACCATTTTATAAAAAGTATAAGCATTAATAAAATGTTAATATATGTTTTCAGGATTCAAATACATATATTTTTTGTTGAATTTTAGTGTAGATAGAAAGGTTTGCATTGCAAATTTTATTTTACTAATAAATGATTTTAGGCTTTATATATATATATATAGTTAGTACTTATATTATAATACATAATTATTGGAGAAATTGTATATAAGGGCATAAAAATTGAAAATAATTACAGATAATGGCCCAAAGTAAAAATAATTATATATAGAACCCAAATTTTGAGAAATTTTATACTTAAAAGCCAAAATAGCTTGGCATTATGATTAGAATTTGGAGCCTAATTCAACTTTCTTTGGTTAGATTTAAATTCGGATATAAAATCTAATCTACTGAATTTGCAATACTTAAACTACTAATGAATATAGAACAAAAGTGCTTGGCATATTTATGATAATATTATTTAATTTAGCATTTAATTTTACTTTTATTATTTTTGAATTAATGTAATAAATTTGAATTTTGACAACTCGAATTTAAATTCGAAGCTAAAAATTACTTATTAAATAAATTCAGATTTAAAAAATTAATTCAGTTACAAACTCTAGTTATGGTATGATAATAATGGTTCCTTGAATATTATCACTGTATATACAATATTACTTTATACATTTGATATTATATTCTTTTGCTTAATAAAATTTACTTTTAACCAAGATATAATTTAATTAGATAAGTATAATATTTATTAATCTTATGATGTTTATTCTGTTCTAAACTAATATATCTATTCTATACAAAAATTAGCAAATTATCTTTGAAGGCTACTATGCATTAAAATATTTAAAACTGCAATAACTTATTTGTAGTCATAAAGAAAAGAGTAAGTTAAATTAGTTATAGTTGTATACACAAGAGCTAAGAAAATAAATGCAGTATTAATTAAAAAGTAATATATATATCTAACTATCAAAAGAGAATTATATTTATATTTATTAATCTAATTAGTTATAATAAATTTAAACTCTTTGATTGTGATGTTTTTCAAAATTCAGCTCTTATATATAATTATTTTCATCTTGAGCCCTTATTTATAATTTTAATTTTTTAGGCCTTTAATATTATTATTATATGTAATTTTTCTAAATTATTTATCAGGATGCAGTGCAAAGTAGAAAACAAAAATTTTCAAGACTGCTTACTTACATATTATTTTAATTTTGATTAACTCAATGTACTGATAATGTCACAATGAGGAATTGGTTGATACTTTAAATTTTTAATTTATTGTGAGAGAATAAGATAATTTCTAACAATATTATTATTATATAGTTCTTAGAATTCAACATTCTTTAGAAACTAACAGACAAATATATACAAAACAGATTTGATATTGTTTTCATATAGGCTAATATATGACTCTATTCAGAAGAGAGAATCTTGTATCCTAAACTTTTTGATGATATAACAGGTTATTGACAATGCAATTATCTACAAATAGCTCATTAGACAATAAATTATATGATAGGCACTTTCAAGCAAAAAATTTGATCCTTCCTCTAAGCAGATATCCATTATCTAATCATTATTAGTAGTGCATTCTATGGATCACTCATAAGTATTTCATAGTTTGTCTCATAAATTAAAGGATAATTATAATATACAAGAAAACAAATTGAAAACAATTGCATAAATATATATACACCTAATCCACTACAATATCTGCTTAGAAAAAGAACTGAATTTTTGTTTGAAAGCATTCTATTTTTGAGACAGAAGGTTTATTTTTAATACTACACAACAATAGCAAATGGTATGTTTCAGTAGATTCAGGCTAATAATTAGACAATAATCTAATGGGTTTTGAAAAATCTCTTATACAAAATAAACCCTCAATAAATTAATACAATTACTCTAATCATTTGTCAGACTAATCAAAAAAAATTAAATAAGAGTTTAACTAAATTTAGTGACTCTATTCAAGTCTATATATAAACTCTGTGATAGACTATCAGGTTGATCTATAGTATAGATGAGCAACAAATATAAACTAGTAGGTTAGGGTTAGTTTTTTATATATAACAGAAGATGTAATATAAGAATATAAATGTTAACCATATAGTCTTCTAGAAATTTCATATATTTCTTGTATAATATATCTATTTGTCACATCTATAGTCATCACTTATATTATATGCCTACCTATACTATATATAATCTAACTATCATAGCTATAAAGAGTTTAATCTGTAAATTTTATATACATAGGGTGCTTTTAAGCAAAAACTTGATTTTTCTTCTAAGCAAATATTGTAGTGGATTAGATATATACATATTAATATAATTGTGTTTAATTGTTTCTCTGCATATTATAATTGTCTTTTAATTCATAAGACAAACCATGAAATACTCATAAATAATCCATGGAATGTATTACTAACAATAATTAGATAATGGATATCTTTTTAGGGGAAGGACTGATTTTTTTGCTTGAAAGTGCCTATGTAAAATTAAAGCAAAAATTTATATTAGTAAAATTGTTTTTATATATATGTACGAATACAATTTTACTAATATAAATTACTTATATTAAAATGCTTAGTTTATTAACTAACAAGTTCTTTAAGAATAGATCATCAGAAAAGATGATTAAAATGAATGTGTTTCGATATTTCATCCCAATTCTGTTTTAAGCCAGATAAATCATATTTTTTTTATATACTATATATAGATCGCTTATTATTTGTAACTACATAGTATTCAGGTTTAAACTACTTGACTAAGGCATTTTTGAACTGATGCATTATAGTTATACTAATTGGGAAATTTCTAGCTAGATTTGGATGAATTCTTGGAATGCTATTTGGCACATAATAATGTCAACTGATACAGGCATAGCGGGCTTTAATTTTGATTGGTCAATCACTTAATGTATCATCATATATTACATAGCATATACCATCTGACTTTAAATGAATTGGCAGCTATGAAAATGAATTGTCAAAGGATATGGCATACAAATTCTGAAACTACACTTTAGGCTCTATAACATATCAAATTAATCCAGAGAATAGTTAATTAATCCAGAAGTTAGCGATGAGGTGCACCTTTTGTCTTATAAGTTAAGGTAAGTTAGCAATCGGCAAGATAAATTGTACTTTGACTAATAAGTGTTAAGCCTTTTTTTAAAAAAAAACTTGAAAATAACGATTCAAACAACAATATTTACAGTTAGTTTTTTTCAATATTTTTTACTTAATATAGGTTATTCGACAAAGTTTCTAAAAGCTACAATATATTAGATATAAAGTATACGTAGGATATATATAATTATCCATTATGTTCTATAGTTAGTTTTTAGATTTTATACTGTTCATACTCTCTATGTGCGTGTATTACCTTTATTGATAGTTGACGGCTTTTTTTGATTTACTTATAATTATTTATTTCTTATTTCGTTATTAAACTATGTACTAGTTAGGAAGCAATTTTGTTATTAAAGATTATCTTTATATGTATTTAAGTTTGAAGACTTTTTTTTTATTAAGTTTAACCAGATATGCATTTAACAATAAATATAAAGATCAATGAGTTAAAATTGTGATTATAAATTCAAATTTATAATTTAAATACTACTAATTTCTAAAATTTTCTTAATTCGAACTCGTTTTCTATTAGCCAATCAAAATTTTGTTATGTTAACAAATGATCTACAAAAATTGGCCAATCAGAATGAAAGCCCGCTATGCTAATTTAAATTAGTATCAGGTGGGGGGAGGGGGTGCATCTATTTACCCAACAGCTTACGTAACGTTTATTGATGATCCATGCATGCCCGGCCAATCAGCATTGATCATGGAAATATACATAAATTCAACATTTCAAGCCAATCATAAATAGTATAAGATCTCTAGCACGTGCAAAAAAATTGTCAAAATCATATATTACTTTAGATGTAAAACCAGATACATTCGTTCTGTTGTCATGAGTCATAATTTTCATACGTATTGTATTCATACTGCTACTATATATGGAAATTAACTAAACAAAAGGAAAAACCATGCTTTTATGTATTATACATATACGTATTAAAGAATAACTGAATACATACC